AAAAGTGTTCCTTTTCTAAAAAAAGAAAAAAAAAAAAGAGGGGAGTTTTCCTTTCTCTGAAATCCTTTAAATACCTCATCCACCCTTCCCCCCATCCTCCTCCTCCCCTTTGACCCTCAGCCCTGCCCCCCCGCCGACCCCCCCCCTGACCCCCCCCCCCCCCCCCCTGCCCCACCCCTTCAGGGCCAGCTGGACACCTTTAACCTCAGGCTTCCCAGCAGAGCAGGACTGGTCACTCTCAAAACACATTCAAGCTGATCTGGTCTGTGCGCTGAAGGAGGCTGGAAAGACACAGCTGCTCTCCTCGGCGTCTCCGGGAGACGGATGAGTGTGGACTTGTGTGGTTTGTCCTTCATGCAGGATTGTCTTTTTGTCAAGACGCTGAAGAATCATGCAGAAGAGTTCTTTGCATTGTTTAGTTAACACTTAAATCAGGTTGACCTATTCGAATACAAGACCATTTTCTTTTTTTACATTAAGACAAAACACAAGAATAAGTATTATTTTATGCAGGTTTTACCTTTGCTTCAATACCGATTTCCTGAGAATGTGTCTGTCTGCGTTCCTGTCTCACCTGTACCGCCTGGCGTCCCTGCTGAGCGTCTGCCAGCAGCTGGATGGTGATGGACCTGCTGTCCTGCACGGCGTCTTGCAGGTACACGAAGGTGTGTCCAATGTGACGGCCGACGCTACACTCCCTACAGATCGGCACCGAGCAGGACTCACAGAAGAACAGAAACACCTGGAGACATAGGGAGACGGATGGACAAATCAGTCTGGTGTTCCAAATCATACGAACAACAGCCAAATCTGATAAACTGGAGAAAGATGAGGGTTATATCAAAAGCTATACACTCAAATTGACCGTTTATAACTTGAGATGTTGAATACAACTGACCAATCATTTTAAATTGTCTCATTGTCTCTCACTAAAACATTTTGAGCCAAGATTTTCCTACGCTTCTTTGTGTAAGCGTAGTAAAATCACTTTAATTTATATTACTTAATAACCATATATAAATGTTTGACGGTCTTAATCTCCGTTTAGTGTTTAAATGCAATCTTAAAAATTATATTCTGTACCAAAAATATACCAAACTAACATAACCTGTAAACGTATCGCTAGACGGTAAAAGTACATTTAAGTTCTTTCCGATTTGAGGGGGCGTTCATGTGAATTTTGCCAGTCAGGATCTGTTTTTCAGATTATTCCAACACCACATGAATGTAGCACACATTCCCTGTAATGTTAGTGAACGTGAAACACATTGCGTGTACAAACAAACAAGACAAACCGATACGAAAACATAACCTCCCGCTGAGGTTGACCTAGCGTTAGCAGATTTCTTGTTAAAAATGTGATCGTGAACAGGTTGTTGCTATACTTTCACTCCTTTAACCTCTGTTCTGATATTGACCTGTGGAAATGTGATAATGTGGTCAATGTTTTTATAAAACGGAAACAAAGATCTATGTCCCTCCCCTCTTCCTACAACGTCCTACGGCAAGAGGACAACTCAGCTCTGTGAAAGCTAATGTGTTTTCCCTGAAATGGATTGGCAGGATGAAAGCATTAATCAGTGTCTCTCTCTCTCTCTCTCTCACAGAGCTAATTAACGAGAAAAGACCATGAATGATAAGATTGTCATCCATAAACATGTGTTACCAGGGAGGCTCATGTGACGTTAGTTTCCACATGGAAGCGTACAAGCTTCTGAGCAACGAATGCGCCTTCTTTCCTACATTTTCATTGATTGAAATATATACCTATGTATGCCATTTTAAACTCCTATTTAGCAGAGATGCTTGGTGTGTGTGTATATATGTATATATAGATAGATAGATAGATAGATAGATAGACAAAAAAAGTCCCTCGAGATAGGAAGGGAAAAAAAAGTAATTCAACCTTTGTTGCTCAATGCTAAGCTTTGCTTTAAACCCCTCGTCTGAATGCTGATTGTTTGTAATGGAAGGCTAATGAAATATGCACTAGCCATCATATCCCAGAGACACCAGATTAATGGCCTCCAATAGCAGGAGGCCTGAGTGGTCAGAGGGAGGGGCCTGCAATCAATCCATCAATAATGGCTTGTTCCCCCAGGGAGCGGCATAATCTAATGACACACACCTCCCCCTTTATCCGACTTCCTCCTCTTCTCTGCCTTCTCCTTGAGCTCCCCCCTTGCATCCTTTTCTTCTAGTCCTTTTCTTGCCATCTCTCTTTCTGCTAAACCCCGTCCGCCATCTCTGCACCGCTCCGTCACTCAGTGCTCTTCTTTACTTCCTCCCGGCCCATCCCACCCCCGCCGACATCGCCTAAATTCCAGAGGGACGTGACACACGCACACAAAAGCAAGGAATGCAGCTGGGATTCGAGTGGAGGAGGAGGTCTAGTACCTACTTCTCATCAGAGCCCGATTCAAATCTTACTAAACTAAATGTATAAATATCTTAAGTAATCACCATTGTATCCCAACCGCCGCTGCATGTGCACATCAACACTTTCTAGTGATTATAAAAAGCCATTTCTAATGAAGGCCGCAGCCCCAACGAGACCCTTAAATCAGATCACAATCTAAATCAGCCTGATTATGTTTGAGGTGAATCACACAGTGATCTATAACATGCTTTAATCATTTAATGTTGGCGCGCTTCAGTTTCTTCAAACATGAAAACATTACATACGGACCCTTTTAGTAATCAGTGCTATCTTCTGACTGTATTATCTCTTCACAGTCCACATCTGTGTGTGCAGAAACATGGCAAACAACAGATGCCTGTTATTGAAAACACTGGAGTCCTATTTCACAGAACTAGGTCATGTCACAAACAGGCTTCTGATATCTTACACACTCGCTGCTGCTCATGTGCCGTCAGCAGGTCAACAGTCCTCGTGGTGAGACACGCTCACTCAAACCACACACACACACACACACACACACACACACAAGGTTGTAGGATTGCATAACACCCCCAGCCTCTTGGAACGCCAGTCAATATTATCGACCCACACAGGATACTGGCTCCTCATGGAAGGATGCTTCTCTCCCTCTCGTCTTTTTCTGCCTCCCTCTAAAAACACATCTTTTGGAAGCTTTTTTGGAGACAAAAACGAGCATTACACACAAGCCAGAAATACAGCTGCTGCCTATATACATGTGGCACCAAGAACAGAACGCAGGGATGTCGCAGCGGTGCCATGCAAGAACACACCAGGAACCTCCAGGGTGCGTGCGACGTGGAAAAAACAACTTTAAAAAGGAAGTGAAGTGGGCATGGTGTGCTAATAAAGTTGTAAATTCCAAAGAGAACGGCCTAGGGGGTGGGGGGGTGGGGGGGGGCTATTCAGGGAGTGGTGACTCCCCACAGAATGTATCTCACACATCGAAATGCATTCCCTTGCAAAACTGACTTGATGAAAGTAGACTTGATGTGTGATGGTTTGTCTTTAGCTGGAAATAGCCCGAACAAACACGCCATCATCGGCTATAAAGCTGTGAGCGGCAGGAGAGTGAGTTATTGTATTTCATTAGTGCACCGGATGTTTCTCTCTATGTTCGTCTGTCCATTACGCTCCTCCTTTATGAATTTACACTCACATGTTGGGGTGTGTGTGTGTTTGAAAATGTCTCGCCATAAACCAAAGAGAGACCTCCAAAAAACAGAATTTAAAGACTGTTTTTGTGATCGTGGTGTTTGTTTTTGCTGCCATTTAAAACCATTCAAATGAAGCTGTAGACGATTAATCGATGAGGAAAGAGATCAATAACAATTTTGATAATCTATTTGCAGATCTCTCTCTGTGTTATTTCATTGTACATTTTATACCTTTAGGTTTTTGGCATGTTGGTTCAAAGTATTTTTTTTATAGAAAATAGATATATTCTAAAAAGAAATTTGACAAATTAAAATCCTTAATTTGAAATAATAATTAGTTGCAGCCGCAGACTAATGCTGCTTGTGCACCAAGCAACCCAAGTACTGACAAACACTACTCGTGGATTAGTAATTCGAGTAACTCATCTAAAGCTTAAAACGGTTAATAAATGATGGAAAGCGGGATGGGTCATTTTAAATCTACAAAGTAGCACAGACACACAAGCCCCACTAAAAGCACAGGGCTTTAAAACCCTGTTTAGACATTGTAGTAACATAATACACATTCTAATCCGAGGAGGAAAACAGCACCAGAATAAACGCATGGTGGCTGTACTGGGCCCAGCCCCCCCTCCCTCCCATTATGCTCCCTCGCTCCTAAGCACTGGGAACTGGGGGAGAGGGCACGAGCTCAACTGGCCAGTAAAATGCATCCGTGCAGCACTCGCTGCCTACGTGCAGAGTGGGGGGAAGGGACGAGGGCCATGTAATGTCACACTGTGGTGCCACAAACCAGGCTGATCTGAGACCTGTGAAAGCAACGTTCCACCGACGGGGAGACGCTCGGGACCGCCTGCGATGTTTGTGTCTTACTCTACACCTTGTATGTCACATGCAAGGGTAAAAAAATATGCATTTCCTCAGCAGTTTGTCACACATTCCGAGTGCTTCAGAATATGTTTTGCGTCCCCTAAAGTCATGGCTTGAACTCAATATTCAACTGGAAGTAAAATGATAGTATTAGCAATACTGTTAGCGGCCCATTGTGAGGGAAGTAGGAACGACGAGAGCCGTTTTTAGAGATGAGATCAGACTGTGTTTCCTCTGGGATTTGGTTTTTCCAGCAGCAGTGAGCAGAGGCTCAGGTTAGTGGGATTTGATCTGTAAAGAAACATTGTTTTAACCCAGAGAAACAAAAACAGATCAAAACCACTGGGGAAAGTATTTTCAAAGTTCAAAAAGTAACATTACATTTTAGTATTTGTTTGACTTCTTGAAATAAACACTTTTTCTTCAGTACGTTTTTTTGAACCGTGTTGACCGTTTCTTTCATAATCCTTAATGCCGGGAGTCTATGTACTCTGCATTCTACTGCTGAAAGGTACACACACACACACACACACACACACAAAAGGGAGATTATTCTAGAAGCTGTTGACAGACGTCGGTGTGTTCAGCAGCTTTAGACAAACATGTAATAAAGGTGGTTTCCTTCTGATAACCTTTATTTAAACATTCTTGCGTGCACTTTTTCGCCCCAAAGGCCGTATTCCTACTCACTAAATAACGTACAATTTCACCTCATGACAACTACGCACACAAAGTTAAGTGTAAAAAAACATTACACAGAGTCAACATAAGCTCTCTTTTTACTGGACAATTTACTAAATACTTAAAAAAAACACAACAAATGACGGCTATTATCAAATTAGTAAATGCTGTTGTTTTTCCTATGAAGAAACTGCGTATTAGACAGATTTAAATCTCTAAGACACATACGGCCAGAGATTTGCACCATAAATTATGTGAAAAATGTTGGGTATTTGGGGAAAGTCGTGTCAGGTAAGTCTGCAAGGCATTTGAGAGATTTGATGACGAATGCATAACTCTGTGTCAGCATGGCTTAGGCACTAAAAGCTGATAAGTTCTTCCACTACCGACGATACTGTGGAGCGTTTCCTGCACAATATCCCTAATTGAGGGAATGTTAAACAACAAGCTTTCCTCTCTGGATTATCCATCTGTGAGTAAACTAGGGAGAGAGAGATTAGAGATTAGTTACTTTACTTATGAGGAAACAAATAGACAGCACCAGCACCCCTAGTCTGGATAATCTGTGGAATACCAAATCCCAACATTCCCAGCAATCCCAGGAGCACCATCTGCCAGACAAAGCCCCATTTATGGAGCTCACATTCACCTCCTCTAATCTTTTCCAAACACCCTCCATATCTTGCTCACATGTAGTTTTTTTTTCCTTCCCTCTCCGTTCTCTAAATCACTCTTCTCTCGCTGCTATTTCCTTCCTTCCTCCTTCCTCCTTCCTCCTCCTCTTCCTCTTCCGCTGCCCTGCCCTCTCCTCTCCTCTCCTCTCCTCTCCTCTTGTAGTAACCCCTGTTGGCTTGCAGCCACGGACACAACACACGCACACGCACAGACAGACATGCCAGCCGATGTTTTGAAACTCTGCCAGATACGACAGAGGTGGAGAAGGGGCGGTGGCCGTAAACCGGCGATCTGATTGGACGGCCCCCAGAGCAAAAACAAACCACAGTCAGCTGGCCTCCTCAGTCAGCGAGCATGTAGTGTGTTTAATACTTGAGCAGTAAAGGGAAAAAGGAGCAAAGGAAGTAAACGGGTGGGAGAGATGGGGGTCGATAAAGCAAGGGAAAGGGAGAAAAGGGAGTTAAACAATAAAGTGAAGAAGAGAAAGAGGGAGAAACACAAGAGGTGTGGAGCAGCTGAGATGCAACTAATGCGCGCCTGTAAACAGTCACAGCTATTCCTGGTCACTGAGACATTAGTGAGCATAACAAACCCCCCCTCCTCCTCTTACCACACTCACATCAAGCACTCAGTGTTGTTTTGACTGCTCATGTATGCCAACAAAACATGACCATGTTTAGTCCTAAAACTGTATCTTAAGATGCTTTGTTTTGTACACACACGGCTCTGTCCCAAAGCCGTCCTAAAGAGCACGACCGTTGCAGTAAATGGAAGACACGAGGACTTAGCTCGTGTCTTGAGTTGTAGCATTTATTCACCGACAAATAAACCATTTTACGCACTGCTACGTTCACAGCTATAACGTTACCGTTTACTTATTCACCATAGCACACGAGACACTCTTTGAAACGCTCCGTCAGAAGCCCTGACAGAGTCCCGTTACGCCTGGCCGACACACAGCTCACAACCTAAGCAGCTAAACCAGGAGTCTGAGTGGGAAAGTGGCTGCATGAGTCCACGACCCTGTGGCTGCTGACTGGTAACGAATGATTGATTTTACCCGTTTGTGCGTCGGGGTTATCGTTGCGGCTGGGCGGCTTGTTGGCCACTTCAACCACATCACAACATGCATGCAAGGGAGTGGCACTAATCTTGTCGGTTAGCGGTTAATGATTGGTTAACCAAGGTCGGCCAACAGTCAGAGAAAAACAAACTAAGTTAGCATCCTTCGCTCTTGCACATACTTGAGTGACCAACGCAGCATGAGGACAGTGTGTTGCATTAGAGCCATGTTCAACTGTTTTTGCAGGACGATGCTGTGATTCTTTGTTTTGATTGAAGGCCGTTAGCGCCCACACCGTATCAGTACATGAGCATGGCCTTACTATAATGTATTAAACAAATCAACCAAGCGTTAGGAGTCTGTGGTCGATTTGCATGCTGCAAAGACAAGAACAGAAAACAGTCAGCAGAAATGTAGCGCTCAAACTTTAACTACAGCAACATCTGACAAACAAGCATATTCAAAATACAAAAACACCTATGGTGGACAAAATGTGGCAGGAAGCTGTGCAATGTCCCCCAAATAGGGTTGAGAGCTTTAACGTCAAATGTGTTAACTGCGCAATCCCGTTGAGTGAGGTCAAATAATGGCCAATTAAAAGCCCATTTGTGCCCAACCACTGAGGAGGAAGTAGCAGGTTCCAGCTTCTGAATGGGTTTTAAATCCTCTTGTCAAAGGGAATGTGATAAATGCCTCCCTTTCTATCCATTAAATTTATATGACCCAAAGTCCTCAAATGGACATCAAAGCGAGGACACACACACACATACACACTCCCCCCACTTTTAGCCTACATGAAACACATTCACAACACACAGGAAACGCACTCTAATTACTGGTCACATGTTGTGCATTAAACCCTGGAAGTACAACTTCATATAATCCAACTCTGCCGGCTGTGTGGAAACACACACACACAAAAATCATCTTCAGAGGATAACTACCTACAGATGGGAGATGCTCTCAGAATGGAATAAACGCTCACACAGATACTTCCAGGAGTGATGAAATGTAATCACTTGCCCCCTCAACGGCAAACAGCTGCTAAATCATGTTGAAGAGACTTTCTGCATCTACAATGTCCATTGTCTCTGACAAAGACAGGAGTTGGACAGAGGAAATACCCAGAGAGAGAGAGAGAGAGAGAGAGAGAGAGAGAGAGAGAGAGAGAGAGAGAGAGAGAGAGAGAGAGAGAGAGAGAGAGAGAGAGAGAGAGAGAGAGAGAGAGAGAGAGAGAGAGAGAGGGAGAGAGAGAGAGAGAGAGAGAGAGAGAGAGAGAGAGAGAGAGAGAGAGAGAGAAAGAGAGAGAGAGAGAGAGAGAGAGAGAGAGAGAGAGAGAGAGAGAGAGAGAGAGAGAGAACCCAGGAGGTATAACCTCAAGTTACAGGAATTCCTCTGGCCTTGTATCAGCGTCGGGTTAGGTTTCCTTACACACATTCTCCAGAGAGGGGGGAGTGAAACTGGTGATCACAAAGCCAGCCCAGCATGCGTTTGTTAAAGTGATCGTCTTCCCCTTACAGAACCGGATAAAACAGCGGAGAAACCCTACCAAAGGAAAGCAGAATTGGGGGAAGTGTGTGTAAAGACTGTGTGTGTGTGTGCACAGCCAGGCAATGGCCACAACAATTTTTTTTTTATCTGAAGCCCTGATGGATTATGGGGGATTATCGTGTCATTAGCAGTCTCTCAGACGGAGCTGCGTATGTATTTGTATGTGGGAGGGCTGACATCACAGCGAGCAGAGGGCACTCCTTTGATGTAATCCAATTTTCCATTTCGACTACAGACACACACGACATGCACACACAACGTGGCACCCTCTCAGTGTTTCAGATGAGTAACAACTGACATGTATGCTGTTTAAGTAGGCCAACACGTTCACTCATGTGAGCACAAAGCCTATATGTTCTCATCAGTGTGTAGTCGAGGAGCCTTATATTCCTAACCGAAGCCTCTCATTTCACGGTCAAGCTGTCTGTTTCCAGACATTTTGGGAATCAATTAGGGTTCTACAATTTCAGATGCATTATATTCCCATCATGATGAATACAATAACAATGGGTTAGCTCAATATTACTGATGTATTCGTGTGCGCAGAATTGGGAGAGAAGTCGTGCCAAAGCAAATAAATGTGATATTCACTCCACGGCCTCCATAAGAAAAAAAGCAACATAAGCTCCCTCTCTCTCTCTCTTTCCATACAGTTGATTAAGTTAAACATGAAGTCAGACATTTCACCTGTTTTTCCAATAGCACGGTCTTAGTAAAGTTTGATGATGATATCAATTCCCCAAAACCAAATGAAGCAGTGGAGCTGGGTGATGGACAGTGCCTCTGCTTGCTCAGTGCTTACAGGTAAAGAAAGACTTCTCGTGCTTCACTCCCTCCCACCGGTGAGTGAGTGAGTGAGTCATTACTGGGGAAATGAAGCCCTTACTGGAAAACTGCGCTCACCTATTTACTGGCAATGGAGAGAGGGAGGGGCAGAAAAGTTAATTGGAAACGTGAACTGGGCTTTTGTGACTGGGCCCTTCGTGTTTTTAAAACTGCACGACTGAATTACACGTAACAATATCGCAGCGTTTGTTATTTACACTCGGCACACTTTAAAACGATCACTAAATAACTCTGAACCCGACTTTGCATGCTTTGCCTTTCCAATAGTTCTGGAAACGTGTTGGACTCGTATAATAGAGATTTGGGAAGTCAGAAGAAGACAAAATAACGTGTTACTCATGCTCTTGTGGTGTATTCCCTCCAGCAGCGAGGAGAATTCCTTGAGCCCCTCATCAGAAACCAGAAGTGGTACAAAAGTATATTTCCCAAGACCCCCTTCCAATGCTATTTGTTATTCTTCCTGGCCATATGACTAAACTCAAGAAAAAAAAAGCTGCTTTCCTGTTTTACAGGCCTTTGTAGTTTACTTTGCCCAGATCACATGGTCTCTTTGGGTCCCGAGTTCCAACTTGTCTTTCCCATTATCAGAGAGAACCTGGATCTCCATAATATGTCCGTGGATAGGACTTCCAACAGTCATAGAAACATGTGTGCAGTTACTACAGGGGGCCTCTCTGGCCTGGATGGATGGTGTGGTACAGATTAACCAGACTCTGCATGTGTCTATGCTTATGTGTGTGTGTGTGTGTGTGTGTGTGTACGCAGGGTCTGTGTGTGTAAATCCAGCTCAGCACACGTGCCTGTTCGTCTCTGGGGCACTAGGTGAAGAGCCACTCAGCACCCTTTGAACCTAAGGCCATATGGCCCCCAGTACGGTTCTATACTACACACACAACTCTGTGGGTGTGGGTGTGGGTGCGCAATACATATAATCCACCAGTGTGAAGAAACCCCATGAATGATATTAAAAAAAAAATACTGATAATGTCTGTGTCACATTCAAATATGTCCCCTTCCTTTCTAAATGAACACATCTAGACTCTTCTTCTGTGGTCCCAGGTGCGGTAGTTTCTATATCGCTCCACTCACCTCGTTGTCGTGGTGCTGGCAGAAGCTCATCTGGTCCTGGAACAGGGACAGCAGGGCGAAGTTGTTCTGCAGGGACTGGGCCAGGGACACCTGGTCCGGGTTGCTGTTGACGTTGACCCGGCCCAGGTGGAGGTTCTTCCCCAGACGCTCGATGAAGTGGTCCTTGGTCAGCCGCACCCTCTGGTGTGCCCGCACACAGTTGTCACACAGGTACTCCTGGCAGTCGAGGCAGTGGGAGGTGGCCGGGTTCTCCTCATCGCAGGAGCTGCACTGGGGCTCTCCCAGGTGGCTGGGTAGCAGGAGGCCTCCGTGAGGGTGATGGAAGCCAGAGGAGCCTCCACCTAAGCGGTGGTGGTGCTGGTGGTTGTTGTGAAGGTGGTGGCCATTCTTGTTCTGAATCTGCTCCTCGGAGCTCACCACCACGTCCAGCAGGTTGCTGAAGAGGAAGTTGGAGGAAGGCAGGGAGTCCACTCCGGCCTCCTCGGAGATGCGTACCTTCTGGTCGCAGGTGGGGCACCGCAGCTTCAGCGGGTCTCCTGGGCTCCGCTGGCCCTCCAGACACGGCCTGCAGAAGGCGTGAAGGCAGGGCAGCACGTGGAGCCTCCTGGTGGTCTGGCTGGAGGAGGACGAGGTGTGCGAGGAGGACGATGAGGTAGAAGAGGAGCAGGAGGAAATGGGAGCGGAGGAGCCGCACAGCTCCTTGCAGAGCGGGCAGGTCTGCAGGTCCGATTCTGGGAACGAAGCCATCTGTGGGAGTCAGGTCAGCGAATCACAGGCTCAGTTTACAACACGCGCAGCGATGACGTTGAGGTATTTATTTGGTGGACACATCGGCCCCGTTGTGTTGTGTAGAAAATAAAGTTGTATTTGAGGTAGATTCATGAGGTATTAAAGTCAGTTCAACAGTGAAAACGGAGCTTTTTCCTCCTGGATTATACAACTCTGACCCGAGGTAGGCAGACTATTTCTGAGGTAAATAAAAAATACTTAAGCTCTTTAGATCATATAGATTCTGCTGTGTAAGGCATTCACAATTTTTTTTACATTTTCTGCTTTTTTTCTCTCCCCCCTCCTCCTCCTCCTCCTCCAACTCCTCCAAATTTAGGCCCGTGTCGTCGTCGTTTTGTCTTCTCTCTCTAGTCCACCATCCGGGTCCATTCAGGCGGCGTTGGGCGCAGCCAACGGTCGGTTGGTAATCGCAGCGCGAGCCTCGGACCGCGAGACCGTAAAATATTCATCAAAGCGATCTCATGGTGTGTCACAGGGAAGTATCCTCCGTGTGCGGGTGAATTCACCGGTCCGACCTTGTGAAAGAGGACGCTTTACAGCGCTCTTTTTCCCCGTTCAGTCGGTCGGTTGGTCTCCCTCTCTGGCTCTCTGCGTGGAGGAATGCGCAGGGGGCTTTTCCCCCCTGGCAGCGCCGAAAACAGTGCCCTACAACCCGGGGGGAAAAAACCCCTAAACAACTCGGTCCAACGGCCGACTGGATCTAAATTGCGTCCCGTACCTCGTTGTTTACTCCCGGACGAATTAACGTAAACGTGGGTGCGTGTTGCTGCAGCTCCTCGGGTCGCTCTTATCCGATTGAGAGGAAAAAATGGACCCACTTCCGCCCAAAGGAGGAGAGAGGGGTGTGCGCCAAACGCTCGCTCCCGATAGCGAGAAAGGGGGAGTGTTGTCACGTGCGCGCGCACTAGATAGATCGATATATACTTTATTAAAGCAGGTAAAGCAATACAAATAACAGAGTAAGAAATATTAAAAATAAAAAATGCAAATATAAAAATGCACAATATATACATTTTAAAAACCTAATCTGTCAAACAGATTAGTAAACCGTGTATGCAAATGTACTAATTAAGTAATACATCCTCTTGTTTTACGTGTACATCTGCAAATGAGAACATTTTTAAGTGTCTTGTGTGTAATGCAGCCCTCAGACAGCATGCATTGTGGCGGAGTAAACAGTTGTTTGTTAAGCACAGAGGAGGCTATACTTAGAGTCCTGACATAAGGAGAGCTATTGATCTGCTGTCTTTCTTCTCTTTTCCTCCCTCCTTCTGAAAACAGATGGGAGCAGGAACAAGAGAGGACCGTAAAACTGGGCGGACTCGCCTCAAAACCTCTGAAGATAGTCAGCAGCAGAAGTCATGTAAAATAAGATCAGATAAAATAAACCTTTATCAGTCCCACGGCGAGGACATTTACAGGATTACAGCAGCATAGTGCAAGCGAACAAGAGACGCAAGTAGAAAAACAAGTATAATAAATACATAACCCCACAATGATTAAGTTAAAAAGAAACACTAATATATGTATAGTCTGACTGAATGGTTGTTCACTCCTCCATCCCTCATCTTTAAAGCGTAGCATTTGATTTGGCTACACTATAAGCACATGATCGTGTTATTTACATCCTGGAGAGGAAAATGCGGACAAATATGCTGGTTTTTTTTTGGTTTTGTTTAATCTAACAGATGCATTTAATTTGACGACGGTCACACAGGTTACTCCGATTATCTCGGGGGTTAAAGGAAAGAAAAGGTAAAAAAATAAAAAAAATGGGTTGTTGATTTACAGCAACCTCACAAGGTGATCAAGGGCACATAAAAAGGAGGAATGGTTTGAAAACACACACATAGGTTATACTCACACATCAAAGGGAGGAAAACATTCAGCCCTTAAGGAATAATCCATAAAAGCAGGATGTTCCACACAGATGCCTCATAAAGACACTGCAGGGCAAACAAGTCTGTATAACGTCAGCAGGGCGTCAGGCCTTCCATCCCCGAAGTCTAAAGAATAATGTGTTCTTTTATGACTGGCTGGGGGGGGCAATAATGCAATAACAGCAACAAAAAAAACAACACAACAGTCCTGTGTTAAGATGATCTCTATCCCACAACGACACTCAAACATTTTCATTATCATCATCTGACTGAATGGTGCAGGGTTAACACTTTACTTGAAGTCCCCCTATTCAGCATTTCTAAGCTAAACGTGTCATAATATAGTTTATAACGGTACAATTGTAGCGGTTAACATGCTTTGTGCTCAACTTGCTGCAGCACTGAATGGGACAATACGGTCGAGATTTAAATAATACAAAGTCGGTCAACTGTCTGAACTTAACATTCATTAATAAGTCACCTGCACGTCCTCAGCCAATCATGTTGTACATTACTGTTCACCACAGAACAGCACCTCCCCCTGGTGGTCTGGTTGTAACATCTCAGCTATAATGATCTGTGAATAAATGCACAGAAACAGAGGGAAGAAGTTTGAGTGGCAGCTGATATCTCACCATATAAAATAGAATATTCATGTGAGCCAATAAGACATTTGTTTTTTTAAAATGTGAAAATAGCAGTGGTGTTGGTTTTGAACGTACAGTCTTGTTTTTTTTTTGTTTTTTTTAAAGCACCGCAGAGCGCCATGTACGTCTGAATATTACAGACCATAAAGCATCAGTCTATCCATCCTTTTTGGCTTCCTCACGGCAGCCATTATTTTTTTTAAATAGAATATTACAATTTACTTTTCTATGATGTAGAAATATACGCTGAAATGCAGCTTCTATCATTAGTAATAAATGCGTCAGCAGGACATCATCAGTCCGACCAACTGCGAGTCCGTGGAGACCTCTTGTACACAGGACGTTCTTACCGTTGATTGACAATCCTGTAGTCTGGAATATCCTCCTCATTGAGAATTGATCTCCTCCTGTGGACATTTAGGAAACTCTGCTCCACCAGGCAGCTAAACAATGACCAACCTACCAAGCTTTTAAATGTTTATTTTATATATTCATGTTGTGTTTCTTCAATAACAAAAAGAAATCCTTACAAAGACAAACATTTTGGAGCAGAACTGTCTTCTTTTTTTTTTTTAAATAAAAAACATCAAAGAAAATGAAAATCACAGCTCTTGAACAAGCAACAATTGAGGTTTTGACAATCAGTAAAATAATACAGCAACATAATACTGTCAAAGACAACATCATTAAAAATAGACACCAATATACACTCCGATGTTATTTACATTGTTGTTATAAACTAAATCTAATACTTGTAACAAAATGATGCTGGACTAACACTTATTGTTCTCAGTGAGTGACATTAATCAAAGACTAATTAGCTAAAAGAACTCTTCAGGAAACAATTAACAAAATCAAATCAGAACAAAAACAAGTTATTATCCTTGTAAAAAATAAAAATAAAATTGTAAAAAGTTGTGGCGTCAGTCTTTGGTTGACTCTCTGCTTCCTGGTCGAAGGCTAAACACAAATGCACATGCGTTGGTTTTCCTGATTTCCTCGGCTGTTTTTTCCCCCCAGAGTGAACTGATGTCTCTGGAACATGAAGCAGTTTCAAGGCAAAGGAAAGTTAAGTACTTCCAGGAAGTGTGGGGGGGGAAGAAGCGCTTTAAATCAGTGCGTCCACACCTCGTTGGCCCACAGATGATTGTGGCGGAGCCAGCAGCGGGCAGAGGGAACGTCCAGCGTGAACACTTGATCCTGCGACGAGTTCACCGCCGTGTAGTGAACGATGAGTTTGGGCTGAGGGATGCAAGCTGCAGAGAGGATGCGGCTGGCGGCAGCGAGGTACTCGCTCTCGCAGCTTTGAGTCCTGGAAGAGGAGGAAGCAGGAAACATCATGCAACAAACGGATCACGTGACGCAAACACACAACATTACCTTTTGAGAGTGATGCTGAGGCAGGAAGTGGAGGGTTCTGAAAGGTGGAAGATGTCCGTTGCGTTGACAGTGATGAACATCTCCAGGGTGAGAGCCAGCTCCACCTCCCCCAGTCGACAGGGGACGATCAGGGCCATGAAACCAGGAGGAGACGACACACCCGGGTAGTAGCCGGTACCCAGAGAGTCTGAGGAACACACACACACACACACACACACACACACACACACACACACACACAACGAGGCAACCATTGAATTAACCCGTTAAAGCCATTCATTCCTCTAACATAATACTTTAATACGTTAATACTTACGCCTGAAGACTTCCCGTGCCCGGAGCCACAGGTTCTGCTTGACCAGTTTGTGCAAAAGCATCTGCAGCAGAGCGTGGTCCACCGGCAGCTTTCTAGAGAGCATGAAGTCCACTGCGTCCGAAGCCACAGGAAGCATCTGTCTGTCCACGCACACTCGCAGGTGAGAGTTGAACAGAGAACCATACCTGTAGATATCCACCACGTCTGGGGAAAAACAAAAAGGTACAAACAATCACAGACAGTACAACTGCTGTACTTCCCTATGAAACCGGTGGACTTTTAAGTCAGCACAACATATAACGCTGTAGATTTAACAGATATCATTGGGTTTACTTCAAAATAACTACATCCATCCGAGACTAATTGTCCGTGCTCATTGGGACATTGCTGCTCAGATGTCAGTTGTATTTCAATCGGTAACGTCTGATGCTCTTTGCTTTTGCTCATCAATTTTGTTAACAGGCGAGCAACTCTAAAGGCAGTAGAAAAACTAATTGAATTCCCTGAAACGAGTCATTCAGAGGCTTTCTGAAAGTGAAGTGCGCTCATACGTTTGACGTCTGTCGTCCAGGAATTCACAGAACCACAGTTACTGTCTGATACACATTTCTCTGAGCCGGAACATACAGTTATATAACAGCACATTGGATTTAAAGTGATAAGACAGTGATTGTGGACATTACAATGAGACTTTTCCTCTCTCACCGTTTGGCTCTTTGAGTCCGGGGAGGTTGCGGAGGACCTCCAGTGTGTCTCTGTGAGACGTTTTCTCAGCCAGACGCATCAACACACGAGTCCGACTCTCCAGATCAGCCGGCTCACACGGCCACGAGCACGAACTCAGGAACCATTTGTTTTCTGAATCAACAGAGAACAGATTTCTAAAGCGTAATCTCCAAAACGCCCATCCAGAAGCAACATGTGGGGCTGCTGCATGAGTAAGATCTTTACACACCGCAGGCGGTTTATATTATATTACTCTGTATTTATTATTTATATCTTTATTACTCATTTTGACCTTGGCAAAGGCAGCGCAGACCAGATCCACTCCTTCAGCTCTTGCCTTTCACAATAAAAGCCCTACATATATGCAGTAAACTGCATACGGGTTTACCAGAGGGAAATTCACACGGAGCTTTTTAGCTAAAAGGAAACTCAATATAACGGCTTACAGTAGCTTTAGACTATGAACAGTTTACCCCAGACACACTGCCAGATGCTACTCTGGGTCAACAGGGTGGCTGATCATCTGCTGCACTATAGGGGGCTCAGATAAACCGATCCCGTCTACGTATTTAGTCCCGGCTCACAGCGGTTACCTCGGAGTGTGTTCAGCGCTCCCTCCAGGCTGCCACTCAGGAGGAAGAGCTCCGTGGCCACGGTGACCAGGTAGCAGCGGGACGCTCCATCCTCGTTCCCAAACAAGCCCTTCAGTGTCGAGTAGTTCACTTTGGAAAAGGACAGCACCTCCACCACCCTCCGACCCTACACACACAAAGTACACAATAATGCGGCCTCTAGCTGGTGCGTTGCTTCAGCAAACCTATTCTTAAAAAACATCACAATAGAAATAAGTCTGAACCTATTCAATCTACCACTGAGGTGAATATTTAGAGCCCAATTGCACCATGTTGCACGCACGCACGCGTTTATTTACCTTGGCCCACTGATGCGTTTTGTGGTATCTCAACATGAGAGAGACTCCGATTCGGCCAAAAGAACTCCTGATCAGGCCGTCGACACCTTCGCTCTGACACACTAAAAAAAAATCAGAACAATCGAATGAGTCATGTATTGTTATGGGGAATGAGTCGCTACATGTTTTGTAAATGAAGTTCTTGTCTTTCTAATCCAAAGTAAAAGGTTTTACCCGTCTCAGCGAAGGCAGCAAAGGGCAGCGACAGCCTGTCTTTGCTCTCAGACAGCAGCGCGATGGTGATGCGGCCGCTGATCCTCCCCACCTGGTTGGGATACTGGCTGGACTGACAGATGGACCTGAACACCTCGCCCATCCGCCTCCAGTCCTCCTGCTTGGCACAAAGCTGACAGACAGAAAACATATTACGGTGAAAGATGGAACACAAAACCATTTCTATCCTTGGATAAGCTGACAGAAGAGATCTCCTGATGAACTGACCTCTATTTCTACGATGGAATGGGTCAGATTCAGGTATTCTGGAAGAGGTGCACCGGTGGATAAACTGTCATAATGAATATAAAGAGAGAGTAACCACGTAGGTTTGCAAAGGGTGAATTAACTACTTTTGTTCTTGTGATGCGAGTTGAAGTTCCACTTACTTGTGGTTACCGGACACTAAAACAAGGGAGTTTGTACCGACTGTCTGCTGGAACTCAGGGGTGTTTTTAACACAGTCAAGGCAGTCCAGACTCAGCACTAGACCTGCACTGACCATCTGTCAACACACATATACATAAATAATGTTTCCACATACACACAGATCCTACTACCCTGCGGTATGTTCAGTGTGTAGGCGTCGAGATACCTTGAATGTGAGCTGCATGAGTTCAGGTACAACACCCATGAGACCCTTTTCTCTCACGATGTTGAAGAGCGCCAACAGGAACTCATGGCCAGGCTAGCAAGAGAGGAGGAATGAGTTCATCAGCATCTATTTTAATGCACACTGTGGTGAAGGGTAATCTGAATGCTTCCTAGTAACCAGAACATGTGCTGCCCTCTGCTGGACTGCGCGGCATACTGCAGCGTGACTTTTTTTTGTGAACAGAAGGATGAAAATCACACTGACCACGATCCTGTGGGCCAAGCCGACGCTGAGGACCGAGAAGACGTCGGACACCATGCCGGCCTTCAGCAGAGCCCAGAGGAGAGACAGGAGCACCGGCATGGAGAAGTACACTCCTGGTGGGCTGCTCTGGTAGTAGCCTGTAAACACGGCTCCTGGAGGAACAAGGAGGTGGTTTTACTCGTGTAAGACACACCAACGGAGACTCGGGTGATGCAGAAAAGTAAAATAACAAAGGTGAAGGAGGACAGTGACTTTAGGGAGTGAGGTGAGGACATTCAAACAGAGGCACTCACGTAGGAGTAACATATGAACACCGTTTAAACAGACTATTAGGGTTTAAATTATTAAATAAATTGAAAACTCACCTGCCTTTTGAAGGCACATTGGATTTTTGGTGAAGCGTGTCACAGTTTCAACGCAAAACTGAAGGAAGAAAAAAGTGAAGCGACTGAAATGAAGTGTGGTATCACAGCAGAGGTTCAGCAGAGGGTGTTATTCTGCTGAGAGCTTTAGGATGAAGAATGACTATACATCAGAAGTTCATCATCTACTTACAGAATACTTCTCCCACACAACATTACCAGTTGTATATCAGTATATCATATACTTAGTTTGAGAGTAAAAAAACAAGAGAAAAGTCTTGATGAATTGGAGCAGCATAACGTAATGAAAACATTCATTTACAAACACACACGTCTTCGCCAAAACCGTATAATTTAAAACACGTTGGGCTTGTCCGGACTCACACGGATGAGACCGTTATGTGAAGTGTTTTAATAGTAAGGTCTTAGTGAAGATGCATGTTTAGGAAGTAGTGAGCGTAGCATTTGATGAATGAGACTTTGATTATACTGCACTGTTGTGAGAGTGTTAAACGTGTCCCCCATTTACTTCAGTTCATCAAGACTTTCCTCCATTTTTTAAATTGCTCGTACACTGTGGAGACATCTGAGAAAAACTCAAATTCATTTACACGCGATCATTTTGTCAGTGTGGTCATGATTTGGCGTGAGTACCTTCTCGTCTCCCTCCACCGGAACATGCTGGAAGCGACACATCTTGAACGCACAGGACAGAGACTCACTGAAGTACTGCCTGCAGTACTGAGGGTTCAGAGGACAGAGGATTATTCTGAATTAAATTGACAAGACGAAAAGATGAAGCGACTAACTAATAACCCACTCCCCCAGCTCCGTCATAATTTGTATTTTACAGCCCACACTAAAGCCAATAAACACGTTTATAACGAGGCCTGTTTTTGTGGGAAGACATGTGACTGGTGTGTATTTAATGCAACACTCACAGTATTTGATTTCTGACGCCTGAACTCCGTCATGTTTGCTGTGGTTGTGATCAAAGGCCCTGTGCAGAAAGCAGAGGAGCAAAAGAACACAGCAGCTGGAGGTTTGAACACTTGACTGAACATCAGTTCTCAGAGAAAACTAGACGCATTTGTCGTGTTTACCAGTTCTGGCGGACATAAGTGGAGGGATGTGACTATGCAGAGAGTTCATGGTAGGGATGGTCTGGCTCCTATTTATCAAACACAAGGATTATCAAAACGATGAAAGATTGAGAAGGTTGAAGACATGTTTCATCATCAAACCGCTACCTCTCCAGGACTCCGTTGACATGATTGTTGTTGGCATCCGGCTGACACTGTTCAGAGACACGAGACAGAATAAACGTGAAGTTTACTTCTTATTGTAGCAAATAAACCCGTTTGGTCAACATCCAGAGGCCTTCTGGATATTAGGAGGTGTAGGACAAAGTAAACAGTTGGCCTTTATCCCAGCTTCTGTGAGGAAACTAAATTAAATTGTTAATTGTAAAGTTTGGTTAATTATTTACGAAAGACACACCATGTCAGTCACAGAGCCCTCACTCTCTGCTGAACAGCCTACATTTGTCCACAAAAGCCAATTAAGTACATTAAAAATCCAGACTACAGATAGAGATTTGTATTAAAAGTCTGGTCGTCAGTTTATTTTGAAAAGATGTCCCTTTAGGAAAGAGGTTTGGAACCAGTGCATAAGGCCATTACTTCATCCATGACTACGGTGAGCGGACGTTCCGGTTTCTTTTCATCCTGGACTTTTATTTCTGCAGCGGGCCATGTGTTGCTTTGTGTTTTGGGAGGGGTGCTGCCGCCACACTGAGGTCTCCATGATCTGCTGGAACTCTCCTCTGTAAAACACACGGCGAAACAGTACAATCACAGGAGGATCTTCAGGTTAAATCAAACAAATGTTCACTAAAAGGTCTTCTTTTGTTGCAGAGGTTTTTAACTTCAGCATGTTGTGTTGTGGCTTAAAATGACTGTTTGCATCTTCTGACCCGTACCTTTGATATCAGGAATATCCAAGTGAAAATCACCATTAACTGGCGTCCATCTGCAAAAAAACAACAACAGTGATTTAATTTGTAATGAGCTACACAACTCATCTTTGACTGTGAGGAGACGCTATCAAATATATACGGGACCGTACCTTTGCTTCAACTCCAGTGATGCTCTGGCTATCCTCGACGACGGCGTTTTCACCACTCCCACAGGTCTGGCTTCAGGGGCCTTGGTGGCCCTGGTGAGGCCCAGTTTCAGCAGACTTCCCCGGGGCAGGTTTTCAAACAGCTCTGGATCCTCCTGGACCACGTCAACAAGCAGGATATCCTGTTCGTAAGCGGTGAACTCATCCAAAACGCTGTGCTGAAGATCGCCAGCGGCCTCTGCACGAGTTTCACCCCTTTCACTGCACACTATACTGAAGGCCCCGCCGTCATCTTCATCACTGCTGGGAGAAGAGCAGGGTTCTGTCAGCGCACCTGAGGCGAGGGCCGCCTCTAGTTTAGGGTCGGAGGGAACTTGTTCAGATATTTTGTTACCCTGTTCCACATCGTCTTCATCGTTGCCTGGAGAAGACTGAGGTTCACTTAAAGTTTCAGAGACTCCTTCCAATTCTTCACTACCATATTCAGGATAATCCGTAGAGTCTTTGTTTATTTCCTCCTCCTCCTCCTCTTCATCATCATCTGAACAGCCTGGTCTTTGAAGCAGGAGGCGTGTCCCTGAGGGCCCTCGTGGTGAGGTGACAGGAGAGAGCACTGGAGGAAGCAAAAACTCATTGGAGTCCGTTTCTACACACTTCTCCGCAAGGATGTTGCGCAACAATCCGTCTTTGACAACCACGTGGTTGAAGGGCCTAGTATCAGATGGTGAACATATGTCCTCAATCTCTTGCTCGTGTTGAGGGAGGAGGGGGTACGACTCGCATGAGGAGTCAGAGTTGTGAGGAGCAGAGGATGAAGTCCACAACATCCTTCGGGTTTCTTCACAGTAGAACAACGTTTCCTCTACAGTTTCGACCGTACATTCGGGTGAAAAGGGCGTTAGTGGTACACTTGCAGAATCAGCCAACTCGACACCTTCGACTGTCTTGAGTGGGACCGCTGACGGTGGGAGAGAGGACGGTGTGGCAGAGAGGCTGCTCGAACCATCGTGCGTAAATGGAGACGACATGGGAGACAAAGTAGTGGCGGTTTCACAGTCGCTAAGACCGAGAGCCGAGGGGGAAGGGGTAGACGTGTCGGCTTCAGGTCCGTTAACCAGCAAAGATGAGGCTGTGACGCGCTCTCTCCCACACCGACTTGGGTTGGAAAGGGTGGCCGACGCATCCGAGTGAAGACGGGCTAATGACACTTCTGCTTCCACAGCGTACGAAGACACATCACCATGTCTTCTCCCGTTTCTCTCTTCCGAACCGCTTTCTCCATCCTTGTCTCGCCTCTCTTCATCCCGACGACGAACCTGGTGGGCTGACGGTGCACCTGGGAGCCCGTCACTGGCTCGGTCGCTGGATGAGCCCGGCTCATTTTTATCCAATGGGGAGTCTCTGTTATCTCCAGCTGGCGGGTCTATAGGGCCAGCATGTACTCTACGTGTGCAGCCGCTGTTGGAGAAGGGCCAGGCCATGTAAGTGCGAGCACACGTACATTTTATTCGTCTTAAATAGACCCTCACTCTCTGGCAGGTGAATGATTCTAGTTCATCCCCCTCGTTCCCCTGACACGACCCTTCTGATGACATCTGTGCTGCGTCAGTTTCTGTGGGATTCTCAACCTCACCACGAGGTTTCTCGTGGACACAGTTTCCCGTCACAGCCGAACCAGAAGAGCTGCTGCCCACACACGCGTGCTCTAAACAAGACTGACTGTCATCAGACGTCAAAAGGCAGGTTTTCTCTTTGTCTCCAGAGTCAGTTTTCGCTGGGTCTCTGCAGCCGTTGCTCTCTAAATCCGGAGCGGATGGCAAAATCCCATCTTGGACACGATCCCCAAGCTTTATCCTCTTGTCTCTGTGAATCTCTGCTCCTGTCTGGCGATATAATGGCCCCGGATCCTCCTCAACACCTCTGTCCCACATGCCAGTCCCGCACTCCACCACCTTTTTCTTACGTTCACCTAGTGAGAGAGAAGCAGAACAGATCCCAGAGCTTTCACTAGTGCAGCTCTCGAGGAAACGACTGGATAATGTCCATACATCTGCACGCTCTCTCAGGCGTCCGGTCAGACCCCGAGAGCGACGGACGCTCTTCTCAGACTGAACTCTGGGAAAAAACTCGCCCTTTCGAGGTAGAGCGCTTTCCTCTTTTTTGCGGTGCCCGAAACAACCCGGCCCGAACTGAACCGCAATTCTCATCTCCTGCTTGAAGCAACACACGACCTTGGTCTTGAGCACATCCGGTAACATGTAGCCACAATCGGGACTAAAAGCAGCACATTTTTGAGCTACGTCGCATAGCATCACCTTCGGGTACCGGTCTATCCGTGCGATAATCTTCTTAGAGGTCTCAGTGGCCGTGATTTCCCTCTTGCTCTTAACCTCAACTGTGGGCCGCTCTGGCCCTGGGCTACTGCTTTGTGGCCCCTGTTTGCCCGATGTCTTCTGAGGTGGGGAAACGTGTTTACAGTCACCACAGAGACCACAGCCGGAGGCTCCGACAGCTCTTCTCAAAGAGCCCTCTGAACCAGCGAGTCCAGTGGGGCTCGGGTGTGCGTTTCTATCAACTTCTGCAAGTGGAAACAAATAGTGGAAAAGTGAATCACCATCTGGAATCATTAAGGACTAAATTAACCCATTTTATCACCACATATTGTGTGTGTGTGTGTGTGTGTGTGTGTGTGTGTGCGTGCGGTTAAACAGAAATGGATTCCCACCAATTTCAATTGGAAGATGAGACGAAAAGCTAACGGCTTTAGCTGCTATTATCATCTTATGTAACTCATTTATAATACAAATCTAAAGGTTTGTTACTTAACATAAATTACCCCCTTTACCTCATCCCTACACACAAAACACTAAAAGTCACGTTACTGTGACTTATTTAGATCACTGTTGCTATGTTTTAGCCGAGCCGTTAGCTTAGCATCTCACACGTTTCCCCCCCCAAACACAAAAAACAACAACACAGCAATTAGACAAAAGTTAGCTAAAACCTTTTACCTACCAAATAATATCCTCATCTAAAAAGAAAACTCTTAGTTGGAGTTTAATACCAGTAACTTCACACGCTTACACAACAACACAGCTAAAGTGCACCTTACTTGACAGTCCGGTGGATATCGACCGCGTTTTCGTTTGCGCTCGTGGAGGACACCCAGTGGACACCACGTGACACCCGGTGGACCTGGCCTTCGCTTTGATTTTACCCATAGTCACACGCGTTTTACGATTAACACCCACTTGTTTGGATTTACCGCGTCCACAACTAGATGTGCCCACACTCGCGTTAAGCTCGAGAGGAGTCTGGCGCCTTGTAGCCTCCATTTTTGACATTTTGGCCCTCGGTTTGACCCGTCGTTTATACGATGCGCCGTGTGCAGCAGCGGTGCAGAAGCACCAAGTGAACCTGAGCTCGCAGATCTTTCCGAGGCCGTGCAACAAAACGCCCTGGCTCCTCGTGTTCGGTTTGCTCCGTTGATACTTGCCCCTCGTGCACGGCCCCTCGTGCTTAACCTGCACGCTATACCGGCCGTTATTTATCCGGTTTGGCCTCTGCGTACCTACGCGACTCTCCAACGGCTCTCCTCCTCCGGGGCTGTTCGTACCGGTCGTACCGGTCACATTTTCTGGGCCAGTTAAAGCCGTTTGGACGGGTTCGTGCGACACCACTTTGGGTTCCTCTCGGGTTTTTTTGGACTCATTATTATTCACCGAGTTCGGGAGTCGTCGTCTCCGCCGCGGCTCCACATTTAGCCCAACGACATCTTTTAACGCGACTCGGTTTAGTTTAACCCTGCTAGAAGACGGTAACATGCTAACAGTTAATTAAAACAAATGGCTATGGAAAGCTGCAAAATAATACTTTCTTAACCTGGTTAGTAACCAGTGGTTACTATTTTTAAAAAGTTCTAAACTTCTCACTGCGTGACGTCGTCTAATCTAAACCCCGTCCCTAGCGTCCGTCTTTCCCTTCCGCTCACATTTATGAACTACAAGTTGGCATGGCGCTAAGGTGTGCCGGCCAGTCTGCGCATGCGCAAGGTGTCAATTAAGCATACACCTTTGCCTTCATATTTAAATATGTAAATACTTTGTTTTTATTCGCAACCTGATACATATTAGCCAAGAATATATGATTTAGATTATTCTCGTTTTCCACTAATCTGACAAAGTGAATTAAATTAAGAAATCATGACCAAAAAAAAGGAGTAAATAAATGAATTACGAGATAAATAAATAAAAAACAAGGCATAATCTAAATAATGTAAAACTACAACCATAAATTGACATAGAACTGAACTAAAAATAACATTTCACTGAAAAAATATATATATCATGGTTTATTTTACATCAGCTTTGTGTGTGATTACTCAGATGTGAATACTGACCATTGCACACACTGGGCAGGGGGCAAAGTATTTGATAAGTATTTGGTGTAGGAATGTGGACGCACAGGAAATGTAATTAGCAAAAGAGTGATCCTGGGATAACGATCTACTGGACAAAGTGAATAAATACATTTTAATCCTGAAGCGACTAGAGGTGATCAGCATAGTTTGGTCTGAGCACACAGCTGTTCATGCAGAGAGCTAAAAATAAATGTTTATACACATTCAGGTAATCATTTGCCTTTGCATTAAAATACTCAAATGAAGTAGATGCCTAAAACATGAAAGAGAATATTTTCCATTCTGCTTTGTGTTCAGAGTAAAACATATCTCAATACAATATAGTGTATATAGTGTATGCTAAGGCAACTCAGTAAGGAGACGTTATCAGAAACACAGCATCAACCTTCAACAGTTACAGTATTTTTTATTAAAAGACAAAACCACAGTCGTGTTTTTTAAATGCACATTTAATTCATTTATTTGGGAAAAATACAGTTTTAATTGTAAATCATGTAAATATTCATGTGTGTTCTGTGATAAATAGTTTTACATTTTTATTTGAGATATTTGCGGTTTGTTGTACTTTTTCCTTCTGATTCCTAATTTGAGGGGATGTGATGCAAAGGAAATATACCTCACATAGATCTGGACAAAGTCCTCGTGTCACAAGTGATTGAGAGTACAACACAAGAGAGTATAAAGCACCAGTTTGAAACACACGCTGACTGACTCCTTGAAGACCGAGGTGAGAGGGTGAGACCCTGGTGAGAGGGGTGAGGGTGAGACCCTGGTGTGAGGTGAGAGGGTGAGACCCTGGTGAGAGGGGTGAGGGTGAGACCCTGGTGTTGGGAAGTAGCCGTTCCCTGGTTGCGGCGGCCTGATTCACAACACCAGCTGTCCCGCCCCACCGAGCCAGCAGATGGCGCTCTGATGGTGGAAGAGGTTCTTCCACTGGTGAGCAGAGAAGTGGTTCCATCTCAATGCGTCCTCCCTCCTCCTCTCCCTCCTGGGGTGGTAGAGTCATCTCACTCTTCTCTCTCTTTCTCCTAATCTTCCCTACATCTGTGACAACGGGAAACAAGCAGAACATGCAAATTAGATTGAGAGGAAACCATTAGAGGTGAGACGTGAGGGAACTTTCTCTGGGCTCCTCTCGCTGAGCTCTCGTCATAAAAAGACCAGACGAGAGTGTCTGCTCCACCTCTCTACACCTGACAGGCATTACACCACCCTGGCTTCAGCTCCACAGCTCCCACAACATCCTCTATGCAAATTTTATAATCACACCCCAGCAACGAGGGATGTGTGTGTGTGTGTGTGTGTACGTAGAGTGAAGAGGAATATAAGCTTTTACTTAGCATATGAAATGAGTTGGGATTAGAATGAGATAAAGAGCGGAGTGAAGAGCAGAGGGAGTGTTACGAGAGAGGTCACTGATAATTTTGCTTCCGTGAAGCACTTTAAATCTTCCCGACTGCTCTCACAGGCGTTGGAATAGCACGCTGGGCTCAACTGAGGGATAAAATTACACCGGCTGTTTCACCAATAACCGTGCACTTCAAATTAAAACGTTGTAGAATATCAGCATGATATAAAACCGACATAAAAATTTTTATAGGAGAGGAAAAATCAAATGTGAGCCCTGCGAGCACAGACCAGTGAGGTAGATTCCTACAAATGGTTTCAGGGTTCAGTGTCTTGTTCTGGGACAACCGCCAGAAGTCTGTTGACGGCTCCAACCAACAGCTATTATCATTGTTTGTTATTCTTTTATTGTATTTTCTCAATTAAATATTTATGATCAATTACATATTTAGTATCTACAATGTTGGAAAATAGAGAAAATATCACAAAAGACACAGAAAAGCAAATTTGAGAAGCTAGAAGTTGCTTGACAAATTAATAAAAGGATGAATCGATCATCAAAGTAGTGAACAGCTGATTCATTTCCTGTCAATTGACATCAATGTATGGGCTAGTCGTCTCAGCTCTACAGTAAAGGGTGTTGTTTAAAGTTTATGTCCAAACGCCTGTCAGACTAGCAGTACAAACTAAATGTGTCATTACACAGGAAATCTTTTCTGTCTTAATTTGTTGACTGGGAGAAAGCGAACCTCTACAACCTGAACACTGTGTTCGAAACAGCATTCTTGTGGTGGTTATTAGGTGAAAAGAATAGAAATGAAGCGCTGCCTTTCATCAACAGAGTTAACTGTTCACAGAGACACATGGAGGGGGGGGGGGTTAAAGCACAGCAACCCTCTCAGTAGCTGATGGGAAATAAATATCAAGACAGAGAAATATGTGTATAAAAGACGTGCTGCTTCCCTTTATTCGCTCCGCCTCTCTGTTTGGCATGCGAGGCACTGTAGGTGCACAGCAGTTGCTCTTCCTCACACTCGTCCCCCCCCCCCCCCCATGTGTTGCTGTCCACTGAGAAATGCCTCTCTAGAGAAAAGGTATGTTTTTTTATGAATAATGTGAGACATTACATTGCAGTGGCCCCTTCTGCAGATAACTCAAGCATAAGCACATCGCCGTTTAAGATAAATCCACTATTGTGCAAGCAGAGCTTTGGCTGCGTTGTTGCAATTTTAAAATGTTCTCACCGAAACTTACGAGATGGAGCATTCACGTGTTTAGCTGTGTTGTTAAATGCAAATGCCGCATTTAAATCAGATTGATGTAACTGGCAGCGGCACAAGCATGAATACTAATGAGCGGCGGGCAAAATAGCAAAAACCTGAATTTCATGCGTAGGAGATTGTAAATTAGGAATCAAGGCAAATGATATAAATGTTCAGACTCCTAAGAGAGAAAAGATCGTTTATTGTAGTCCTTTTTATAACCAAGTCTTTGTACCAGACATTAGCTCATAGGATCTACATTTCTCTGCGTGCACATCTCCTTCATTGTCTTTCTCTGGACCGGTGTGAAGCAGCAGCTGAATTCCTTTAAATAGCCCTCTGCCTGCCTCATCATATGGTTGCTATGGCAGCCAGCCTTTCGTTTCAAGATAACGTCCACATGCTCGTGGAGACCTCCTCCACCTGAACGCTATGGATCCAAAGGAAAAAAGAGATCCGCAGAAGTCATGCATATGAATAATGTTCTGTGCGTCTACGTGTGATCGGTGTGGAGAATAATCAATACTGGAGCTGTGTGTGTGTGTATGTGTGTGTGTGTGTGTGTGTGTGTGTGAGACATCAATCCGCTGACATACATGTCTTATTGAAGGATATGAGGGAGGAGGAAAATGATAAGCAGGTAGAGAAGGAATACAATGGAAGAAATCTGAATCGAGATCAAAAGTGAAACAGATGAGTGAACAGCTGGTTCAAGAAATGGAGTGATACGGAGAGAAATGAAGGGTGAAAGAGAGGATGAATGAGCCGTGACATTTCTGAGCGAATGAAGGAATTGAAAGAAAGCAAAAAGGAGAGTATAATAGTGAATGCCATCTTTTTTAAAATGTCTCTTTTCCTAATACCTAGCTTTTTTTTTACCTGCTCTTTCCCATCTCCTCATCTCCTCGCTTCCATTCCCAGCCCCCATCCTTTGTCCTGCTTCTCTCTCCACAGTTAGTTTTTTATCCCGTGCTCTCAATCAGACATGTGCTTAGCTGAGGGTCAAACAGGACAGTAGCAGTGCAGGATTGTAGGCAGCTGTTGTGTGCTGCACGGATGTACCTCTCAAGCTGACTTTGTCCTGAATCCCTCCCATAAGTGCACTCAGGGAACTATTGTGAGGCTCAAAGGTGTGAAATCAATTACGGAGAGAGAGAGCAAGAGAGAGGAAGAGAGAGAGAGAGAGAAAAGGAACTATTGTATCAATCCTGTTAATATAGGCTGCATTAAACTCTGTGATCATTAAAAAGAAAATTTAAATATAAGAAAATATAACAGGCACTGCTGTTGTCCCAATTAACATTGTGTAAAAATGCTTAATTTTTTTTGGCATTATTTCATCTTTTTATTTTAATTTATGTCAAGTTTTGCCATTAATTCATTTCACATTACGCCATCAGTCACTTTGATAGAACATGAATAATCTGTAAAACTTGCATTGTGGGTTGAAAATATGAGATATTAGGCCTTAAATGTATTAATTAAATTGCACATACTTGGAGAACATGCTAATTTTGCAATATAGTGTGTATAGACCAGGTGGACAAAGTCATCAGTCATATGTTGAACTCACCTCGGGAAATCTATCTAAATGTTTATGAGACGAGTCCTTACAAGTGTCCTCAGCCTAAAAAGGGAGACAAATCAGCATGAAAAAAAAAATCCATATGCAGCCGTTTACGTTTAGAAATGATTTCAGGGAGAAAGACGAGTCAACAGAAGAGGAGGAGCCAAAAGGAAAGTCGATGAAGATGGCACCCTCCAGTTTCCTCTTGAAACACACAAGCAGGCTGATTGCATTTGAGAGAGTTGGGCGCGCTTCAGCGTCTCCTAATGCGCCTGTAAATTGAGTTGGAAAATGAAGACGCCTGTTGTCTGCACTCGGGATGGAAGCCAGGGAGGCAGAAAGCTTTGTATGGAGAACATCCTCCACATCTCTGTGTTTTAGACCCTCACTGTCAGCCAGCAGACCTCCACTTGTGTCAATCACTGTTCTCTTTTATTCCGCATCACAACATGCTGAGAAAGACAGAAACTTACAATATTACGTCCTTTAGTTTGGCTTTGTCTCTCTTTATGTGTGGGCTGCATCACCTCTCTCTCGCTCTCTCCGTCTTTTAATCAGATGATAAATGACTGCGTTAACAGAAATGAACAAGTCTCCTGGATTAGTGCACATTATTTTGTGCATTAGCGCTATCTGTGGCAACACACTGGGAGGCTGAGTGAGTGCACAAATAGAAACGACTGTGTTTTGTGTACGTTATTAAGGAGCTGTTGTGGTCAGCTCTGAGAGCAGCAGTGATAAGGATGCTGGTGGAGCATTTGCTAAGCATCCATTTCCTCTTTACTCGGGTCGAAGAGGCCCTTTGCCTAACACAGGGACACACACACACACACACACACACACACACACACACACACACACACACACACACACACACACACACACACACACACTCTCTGCTGTCCTCATGTTCCCTTTACTCAAAGGGTGGACATCAATATCTTTCCAATTAAATAGGTTAACAAAACAAGATTATTTCTTCACCCCGGCCGTTCAAACTTTATCTCTGTTATGGTCTTATTCTTAAATTGTCATTAGCATATCGGCGAATACCAGAAGCTCTTTCAAATGGGACCCAATAACACTAAATGGGCTTTTGGTCACTTCACTTACTGTAGCTCTTTAAGAGCTCATACGATAATATAACTAGTACAATACCTTTAAATGTGCTCCGTAATGAACATTTGCGAGTATATAAAATAACACATAAATTGACTAGAAGGCCATTTACTAAGATCATATTCTACTTTGCTAAATTGTATTTTAGAAGCTAGTTAATTTTGGCTTTTTATAATATGTTTTAAGTATTTTTTACAGTAAAAATGTGCTTTTACCCCGGATCTACAGTATTTATCAACTGTAAACGAATGGCTCCATTTGTAAAAAGCATTATTATTATTATTCACTCCAATCAATAGTAGAGGTATCTCACACACACCTATATGCACACATCCACAGACACACACGCATGCACACAACCACAGACACACCCATCACGGTGTGTTGCATGTGCACAGCGGTAAATTCCCTCATCGTCGTCTGCCCTCTGCTGCGTCTCTCCGGCATTTCGACTGAGCGGTGTGACCACGCTACTGCTTGGCAAACGCATTAGAAACAGCGGCAGAGAGTTTAATGTGTAAGCCCGACCCTCGGCTGTCACATTCAAGCTTCGCATACACACACACACACACACACACACACTCTCTCTCTCTCTCACATGAGCACACAAGCCGCCCGCCCACACAGTTGAGATAAGGCCTGAGCGCTGGTAGTCATTTAGTTCAGCTTTGTCTTTTTACAGCGTCTCCCTGATGAACTGCAGAAAAATGCTAGTACTTGCAGTATTTGAATTATTAGCAAAACGGCACAGCTTTAACTTAATCCAGTGATGCTTATAATCTGTGTGTGTGTGTGTGTGTGTGTGTGTGTAGTCTAATGTGAATGGGAGAAAAAGTGGGTATGTAAATGAGAGAATGCTGCTTATCTCGGTGCTAAAGTGTGTGTGTGAGGCTGAGAGTCTCCACCTCTGAAAGATATTATTTTGGACAAGTGACCTTAGAGGAGTCATTGCTCTCTTTGTGTCAAAGCATAAAGAAATATCCATAATTCAAACAAAGTCACTCGATATCTGCTATAAGATTACAGTGAATGAAACCTTGCTTTCTGTGCTACAATATAAACCTCTGCATGTCTCTTAACTTGTTCTATTGCGTGTTATAAACCAGGACCAGGAGTAGTGTTTTATGGACGACTCGAGATCGCCCCCCCCCCCCTTCTCTCTCACTCTTTCCCTAATGTAAGTATATCATTTGATAGTCTGGCCATTGGTTTAAGTGCAGATCTTTAAATTGACAAGTTCCTGCCTGATTCTTGCGGATGATTTTGGCACGGAGGCGTGCCAAAGGCGCACTAACCCTGATGACTGCAGGTTGCCAGTTCTGGGCCGGGCCACGGGTAGATAGCTGGCTGGGCGGCCGGCTGGGTGCTGGGCTGGCGAGGTGGAGAGCTGTAAAGAAACAACAAGGTCAGCTCTTTGGTAACACACATTCAGCACGTTGATGCTGGTCTGTGAAAATGACGACGTTCTGGAGACGGTGGACGTGAAGCCGAAAGGGCGACTCTCAGCATCGTCGCTATTTAAAGCGGAGAATCGAGTTTTATTTTCAAAAAGCTAAAAGGATCTTTTTACAGGTTCCAGGAAACACAATCATCAACTGTTACAGTACGGCGGTTTGACATAATGGCTCCTACACTCGAGGTATATTCAGGTGGGTAATTATGGATTAGCAGAGATCTCCGGTGAGCGGAGACTTCCCCTGACACAAAGCCGTCAGTAAAAAGCAAAGGCAGGATTACTCTCACATGGAGTTAGCGCAAACAAACATATACACACACACATAGACAAGTGCAGCTATACACGCACACACCTTAGACCTACACACTCTTGTCGGCCATCACAGACAGCGTGCCGGCTCGGCAGCCATTTTGCAAGGGCTGCTCTGGAATGTTCAATTAGGGTAATTGTTGCTTACGCCGACGTTTCTCAGCGTTACAGACATCGTGTACGCAACAAAGTACCGTCTCAGGCACCGTGCGACCGCACTCGCCTCCGAATTATACAAAAAAAAAAAATAAAAATCATGATTCCGAGGCCTCCGATGTCTTTCATCGGGCGCAGCAGAGGCCCCGCAGAGTAAACCACGACGTATATGACGGCCGGCATGTCAGTCAGTGTGCAGCCATGTGTGAACCGCACATGGTCATGAATGTATGTACGCAGCTCGTTATAACGTATGTGCTGAGGAGGGAGGGGGGGGGGGG